CCCCACCTGCCCTGATCTTCGCGGGACAGCCCCGCTGCCCCCAACCCTTCTTCCTGGCAGCCAGTTCTCTCTTCCCACCACTGCCACCTCCTCCCAGCCTGCCCCGCTCCCGTCCCGGCAGCCACGCTGAGGCCCGGTATTATTTTCCCATGGCCTGGTATCGGGCCGCGGCCCGTAGTTTGGGAACGCTGAGCTTTAGACATGTCACAACTCCTTCACGTGGATGTTTTGTGGGGAGATATCCCATGAATGTGTCAACTTGGCCTGACTTTGCACAGTTCAATTTGCCTGACATACTACTTCCTTGAAAACAGGATACTATCTGTTTTTTCGAACATTTGCATTAAACCATGTTCTCCAATAGAAGGATCTTCAATGAGCAATCACAGGTTTTTCTGTGAGCAATAAATAAACATAAATCTGACTGCAAAATATTTTTTTTTCATTACCAGGTGTGACGTTTTGTTGCAACTTAATTAGTTTCAGCTTTGTGAAAAGCTAAAAAAAAGTTAATTTGCCCAAGTAGCCTCCTCTTAATGGTTGGCACACCACCCACACTTCCCAGAGATTAATCTTCCTAGGGCTCTCAAGTTGTCATAAAGTAAATAAGTGAGATTTCAAAAAAGTCTGTTTTGCAACAGTGCATTTATGAAAAGCCTGAGATGCATGAAGATGATTAGCAATGGTTGAGTTTCACTCCAAATGGGGTGAGAATTATCAGGTCTGTTTCTGCTTCTCTGGAGTGCTGCTGGAAATGTCACTCATAGGTTTTTTCATTGCATTTCTAGTATTCCTGATTACAGTCAGATCAGATATACCATAAGAACAGCACTTGTGTGTGTTTGGCCTGAACAAAGGAAGTGAAGAGGAACACGATGTCCACAAATTGAAAGTGGAGGTTGGGAAAAATAGGCAAAGCTTTTCTGAACTTGAACTTTTCCTATTTTATCAAGAAAAAATTGTCTGTTCTTAGCTCAACGTTCCCCCTTCTTACAGTAATTCCTAATTTAACGCTATAGATATGTTCCAAAAAATGATCGTTTTAAGTGGAAATGTGTTATACGGGGTCAATTTTCCAATTGAAAATAATGGAAAAGGTGGGGGTTGAGTTTTAAGGGGTGGTGTCTGTTGGGACCGGGATAGAAGGTTGGGGGAGAAAGGGGACTGGGTTACAGCAGGGAGGGGAGGTGTTTGGCTCTGGGGAAGGGAAGGAGAAAGGAGGGGGATTGGGTTGGGAGTGAGTATGCCCCTGTGACAGGTCTGTCGGGACCCACACTACATCCGGCAAAGGGGGGGGGGGTTGCCGGGGAAAGGGAGAGCAGAGAACCC